AAATTCGATTAGATCTCACAGATGTTATGGATCGCGTCCTCGTGTCGACCTTTAGGTAGAGGAAAAACCTAGCCGTTCCTCATCGTATCAATCTCGCATGATTTGATTGATTCCATCCACACAAATATCAAAGAATTGGGAACTACGAAGTAACGAAGAAAGCAAAAGGAAAAGTCTTGATTGTCTCTAATTTTTTTTTCTTTTTGTTCGTACTGAAGCAAAGTAAAAAAAAAAGATAGTCTAATGGAATTCGTACCAAAAGCAAAAGCAGCGAGTAAATTCATCTTACAGGAAAAACAAAACTAAAGCCAATCTAATTGGTTTGACGTGAATCTGGATTTTCCTTTTTATATCTTCCAAGTAGCCGCCGCCAGCAAAAGCAAAGAAATGTCACGGAGCAAGACTTTGTCCAGGGGTTTTAATCCCATGTATCTCCACGGTTCATGTGGACCTGATTTCCTAATTGGCCCTACTGCTACTAATCCTGCGGGTCCGACTTTTGGGTATCCTTCTACAGTTTCTGGCATGGGCACGCTTTAAGATGAAAAGTTTTCTGAAAATTCACCTCAAGATACCACTTTTAATACCAACCGCCTGTAATTTACACAAATATCAAATATGAGCAAAATCTCAATATTTAGCACCGTAAGTAACCAAAATTATGGCAAAATAACATCGCAAATTGTGCCGAACAATTGCTCTATCACCTGCTGAAAATGCTCCAATTAAAATCGATGTCCCTGAATAACAAATTACAAGTGTTAATGAGTCTAAAACACGTCTGAAGCGTGGGAGATCTCTTGGTTCCAAAGATAAAAATTTTCAAAAGAAAATAGGAGTAGGTGAATCAACAATTAGTGGCAAAATTCAATCTCCTGAAGAGGTCGCTCCTAAAGAGCCAATTCTTGAAGAGAATGAAATTATAAAAAATTCAATAAATATTGTCATTTCAAGAAAAAGTTGGAACTGAAAAGAAATAATTATTGATAGTATATTTGCATATAATGTACCACTTAATATTATGGCAGAGGATGAGAATCATGAATCTAGATCGGTTGATGAATGTCGAGGTAGAAATGATTGGTCAAAATGGAAAGATGCGATCCAATCTAAATTGGACTCACTGATTAAAAGAAAAGTTTTTGGATCTGTAGTCCAAACACCTGAAGGTGTCAATCCAGTACGATATAAATGGGTATTTGTGAGAAAAATAAATGAGAAAAATAAAATTATGAGGTATAAAGCAAGCATTGTAACCCAAGGATTTTCACAAAGGTTTGAATTTGATTATGATGAAACGTATTCACCTGTAGTGGATGCTATCATATTTAAATATCTTGTGAATTTTGCAGTACATGAAAAATCAGATATGCATCTAATGGACGTCGTTACTGCATATTTATATGGGAATCTTGAAAATGATATTTATATGAGAATCCCTGAAGGATTCAACATGCCTGAAGCATGCAAATCAAATTCGAAATATTTATTCTATTAAATTACAAAGATCTCTGTATGGACTCAAACAATCTGGACGTATGTGGTATAACCGCCTCAATGAATGTCTTACCAAAGAAAGTTATACCAACGATCCAATATGTCCATGTATTTTTATCAAGAAAAATGGATCAAATTTTGTGATAATTGCTATATATGTTGATGAACTAAATTTGATTAGAAGTCCTGAAAAGATTCAAAATGGTGTTGAATATTTGAAGAAAGAATTTGAGATCAAAGATTTTGGAAAGACAAAATTCAGTCTTGGTTTGCAAATTGAGCATTTGAAAAGTGGAATTTTTGTCCATCAAACTGCTTATATCTGGAAGATATTAAAACGATTTTATATGGATAAAACACATACATTAAGTACTCTAATGATCGTCAGATCATTAGATCCTAATAAGGATCCTTTTAGACCACGAGAGGAAAATGAACAGATACTTGGTCCTGAAGTACCATATCTCAGTGTAATTGGTGCACTAATGTATCTCGCTAATTGTACAAGACCTGATATATCATTTGCAGTAAATTTATTAGCAAGATTTAGTTCCTCACTCACAAGACGACATTGGAATAGTATTAAACATATTTTTCGCTATCTCCAAGGAACAATTGATTTTGATTTATTTTATTCAAATAAATCCAAATCTGAATTAGTTGGTTATGCTGATATTGGGTATTTATCTAACCTGCATAAAGTAAGATCTTAGACTGGCTATCTACTTACATATGGAGGTACAATCATTTCTTGGCGATCTACAAAACAATCATTAGCTGCCACTTCATCGAATCATGCTGAAATAATAGCAATTTATGAATCCAGTCGAGAATGTGTTTGATTAAGATCAATGACCTACTACATTTCGAAGAGTTGTGGGTTATCCTCCGAAAAAGAAAATCCTCCAACTATACAATATGAAGATAATGCAACTTGTATAGCCCAATTGAAAGGAAAATATATTAAAGGAAATAAGACAAAGCATATTTCACCAAAATTCTTTTTTACTCATGATTTGCAAAAGAATTGTGAAATTGATGTGCAACAAATCCGATCAGATAATAATTTGGCGGATTTATTTTACCAAGACATTGTCAACTGTAATATTTGAGAAATTGGTAAAGAGTATTGGAATGCGACGATTAAAAAATCTCAAATGATGTTTGCATCAGGGGGAGAAATTAATACACAAGAATAGTGTACTCTTTTTCCTTCACTACGGTTTTTGTCCCGATGGATTTTTCCCTAATAAGGTTTTAACGAGTCATATTCTTTGTGTAATGGACATCCAAGGGGCAGTGTTATGAAACAACTAAAAGTGTGGATGTCTCTTTGTATTTTTAAGAGAATTAATTCATGATTTATGATTACATTATATATAGAAGTTACAATCCATAATTTTATTCATGTAATGGAGAAATCGTTTCATAAGTTTCTTCATATTCTTGTAATAGTGGGTGTTTAATAGGATTGATGTACATTGAATCTTGTAGTACCTATATATAGAGGTACATTGACATCCTTTGGGATGATTTTTGGTATTGATTGGAATATAAGAATATCATTCTCCCTTTCTCTACTTCTTTCTCTAATATCTCTATTAATAGTAGTTTATTAGTTTTACAACAAATAGAACATTTTTACTTCAAAAATCATGGGATTTGGTACTGAAATTTTTTTTTATTAGTGCATATGTTTCTACAATTATCATTTCTCTACTCACAATTATGTCTATATACATTGTTTCCCATTTAAAAATAAAAAATTTTAAAAAAAAAAGAAACAGAAGAAGAAAAATGGTGTTTATGAAATCAACTTCAGAGGAAATTAAAGCGTTGGAAATAGCCAGCAACCGATCATAACAGTACCTAATCAAAACTTTCTCCACAATTTCCAGCGCCACCACCTTCATCTTCCCGCCCTTCTTCTCTTATTCGCCAGCTCCTCCCCCTCCACCGTCCGCCTCCAACGCCACCACAAATCCACCTCTTTATCATATCCCTTCCCGTTTTTTAATCTGCCACCGCTATTGGCTTCCCAGAGCAAGACAGGTATCCTATCCTAAGCTAAACTTTCAAGGAAACAAGGGCAGGGCAGTTATAATTAGCTGTCTTGAAATCACCCCTTTAACTTATTTATTTGTATTTTTCATTTGGTCAGGTCAAGAATTAAAGTTGTGACCTTTTCTAGTATACTAATCGATGGATAACGAAAGAACTGACAATTACCACTTGCCTATATTGAATTGTGTAAAGGGTTTTGCTTTTTCTCGCAAGATATCTGTAATTATGTGCATGCAATTGAAAATTTGGAGGTGGGAATTATTTGGTTATTCATCTATGCCTGATATGTTAAACCCATGTGGAAACACTCTTCTATTTTTTTTTTTTTTTTAATGAAATGGATGTTATCAAACATTTTGTAATTCGTGGTTATTCTGTTTGTAATTTTGGGAGTATACTGTAATTGCTTTTCCATTTCCCTTCTTATCTTCTTTTGATTATTTTCAAATTCGAATTTTTGAATCGCTTAATTGCATACTCCCCTATTCCCAGAATGGGGGAAACTGAACATTGACACTAATATTACAGTTTATCTAGGAATGCTACTATGTTTGAGTTGTTTAGTTCAGGATTCCAGTGGGCTTTAGTCGCTAATGGTATTTTCTTTATTTTTTTTGGTAGCTATTTGGGGTAGGAATAATGGTATTTTCTTTATCTTTGCTGTGGCTATTTTGTAAATTGAGTCAAATGTTAGTGTTAGGTACACTTCATGTTTTTCTGCATATGTGTGAATTTAAGTAGTTTTCTCTAGGGACAAAATGCAGAATATTTGTCATTCTCATACGGCACAATTACAAGAAATTTACACTGGGGATTTGAGGCACTTGAATTTTCTTTTGGTGTATGCTAGTTAGCAAGTCTTTTTCATGGGATGATAGACCACTTATTTGATAGTGAGAATGATTAATCTTCTGTAGTTTTGGCTGTATTATACTGTACTAATTTTTGAATAAATCTATGATATGACTCAGATGATTTTGACATGGAAAAGTTTAAAAATACTTCTAAAACTACTTGTTTGAGCATGTGATTTTAAGTTGATTAACTGAATTGTGGTTTTGATAAGTTTTACATGTTAATATATGACCCCTTCTATTCTACTTGTTCATTTTTTTGAAGATTAAATGTTTGAGTGTTTGACTACAATTACATTGTGACTAGGTTTTAATTATTTGTTTTAGAGATGCTCCAAACTTAGTGTTTTAACCTGTTGATTACTGCTAGTTCTAATATTGATTTTAGTTTCTAATATTGCAGGGTCACGTCAATCCTTGTTGAGTGGTAAGAATGGTGTCCAACTTAATTAATGCCAATCCAGTTGTATATGAGAAAAAGGATCGTCGAACCCGAAGTGCGGTAAATGACGTGGATGAATATGTTGGTGAACCTATTGACCAACAAGAAATTTTTGATATCCTTTTAGCTTGGTTACTTTGTTTGAAACAGTGTGTACGCAGATTAAATTTTGCATCTTATATCTTTGCTTATTATGATGTAAGATTGCAGCCTGTTTGAAGTATAATAATGCTTTTTGAACTGAATGATCTCTTGAGCTAACCAGTGATTGTATTCTTTGCATGTCTACACTAATGAGCATTCGAGATGGATAGGCAAAATGTGGTTATATTACCTTTCGACGTGGTTTTATAAGAGTCTGTATATTGTAACTTTCAAATTTAATACATGAATGGAAAGCTGCTGCAGATTATCAATGCTTTGGTTCATTTGGAATTTTAACACGTTCTATTATGCATAGTGTAAATTAGTCTATCAATGTTTTGATTGATGCAAGAAATCTTGGCACACAGGTATACTCTTATTAATGAAAGGAAAGGTAACAAGCAGATAATGATACATTTTCCTGTTGAAGGGAAAATCACCATTTTGGGAAACATAATTTGAGAAATGCATTGAGAGGCTTCTGTTCATCATTATTGTCCCGTGACTTGAGCACTTCCAGGTGCTACTCCTGAATTTTCTCAAGCGGCATGTCTAAAGTTTGCATGAGTATGCATTATAACAGCATTGGGCTTTTAATTCCCTCACTTGCAAATTGTATTTGTTATTTTTCAGAAAAGCATGCACAGATGGACGTGCATAGACACTGAACTGTATCTTAGTTTTTTCACAAGGTTAATCTTTGTCATTCACTAATGGACTATTGATAATATATTATTCATACATGGGCTGCACCTATAGTGCAAAAACCTTGCAGCTTCTTAACAGTCTAACATCATCTTAGAGACATAAAGGATCCAGAGCATCCTTACTCCTTGGAAGAGCTGAAAGTCATTGCAGAAGATGCAATTGAGGTGGATGATAATCAGAGCTATGTAAGGTATGAAACTTGGTTGTGTATGCTTGCAAATTAATGGACAGGCCTTATTTTTTGTGTTATTAGATTGTAATAAAGTTTTTCGATTCAGGGTCACATTCACTCCAACAGTTGAACATTGCTCTTTGGCAGCAGTTATTGGCCTGTGCTTGCGGGTGAAACTCATGCGATGTCTTCCTTCACGCTTCAAGGTATGATGATGAATCTTTTTTGGCTTTGTTCAGAATTTTTTTTTACTTGAATGTGCAACATATGTACTTAAATCTGTTTATTTTTGTTCCCAGGCTAATATTTATCTTTTTGTGCATTAGTGTGCCTCAAGTAGAAAATGATTTTGATCAAGAACCACGTACAATTTGTTATCTTCACTTGATCTGAGCGATAATCTGCTCTGTCTGTAGTGTGACCTGGATTTTTTCACTTGAATGTGCAACATATGTACTTAAATCTGTTTATTTTTATTCCCAGGCTAACATTTATCTTTTTGTGCATTAGTGTGCCTCAAGTAGAAAATGATTTTGATCAAGAATCATGTACAATTTGTTATCTTCACTTGATCTGAGTGATAGTCTGCTCTGTCTGTGCTGTGAACTGGATTTGATAGTAACAAGTGGTGGAATTCAGCTAACTGTTTACCTAATACACGAATTTATTTTAAGAACATTGTTTCAGATTCGGGCAATGGTACTGACAAAGTAGAAGATTGCATGGTAATATATATATTTTTATTTATCTTTCATTCATTGAGGACTGTGCAGTTCTTCCCGACAAACAAGAACCATAGATGCATAATGATCCTCCTTCCATCCCGCTGAATGTGTTATGCTTACTTTTCTTGAACTGTCCCAAAATTATGCCACGTACCTTCTCAAGATTTACACTTTTTCCCGTTTCTACCCTTCACATTCCAATCGGTTTCACATGCTTGGCGGGTCCCATTGACATGCAGATGTCTTTGAACAAAGAGGTGCAAGGTCGTGCATGTGATGTGATGCACACATGTTCAAATGATAGCAATTGTCAATCACACATCAACATGAACCTGATTCTGTGGAAGTTTCATGCCTAACATGGCATCCATGTCAAACTTACTATAAAAAGACAACAGAATTTGACTGTGGTTTAGGGGTGAAACTGGAAAAGAAAGCTCAACCTGTTTCTCTTTACCCTATACAGAAATTTTGGAAGTTCCCAAAAGTGACAAAATTCTTGGAATGGATGGAGTGTCAAATACAACTGCAATGTCAGGACAAAATTCCACATGCATTTATGATATAACATGTTCACTGTTTTGGAATATTAAGTTTCAACTTTTTCTCTTTACATCATTTTGTACTACTTTTCACTGTCGCTTTAATGTATGTCATAACTCATGGTGGTTCTCCTGCATGGTTTGTTTGCATTGGTTTTCATTTTTGCCTAATACAGGTGTATGCTTTCGATTCTTCTTGTGTTGTCCCAATAAGCAATCTGTTCACTCTTCACCTATGCAAAATCTGTGTGCAGGAAGTTTCATGTATCTTCAATAATGTTAGAACTTAAAATTATATGGTTTTACCAAATTAAACAAACATCTTTTGCTCTAAGTTCGAATAATGTTGATGGACAATGTTTGCATTCTACTGTGAATGTAAATGTAATGTAACAGGCGACCTCCATAACGAATAAGTTGAAGAGTCGAACATTTTGGACCTTGTAACCTTGTGCTGCCTTGGTTGGGATTAATGGGTGTCATACATATCTGCCTTGTAGAAAGTGATAACCATTAACTTCTTTATGGGACTGAACCTGGAATATATTTGATTTAGGCTTGGAGTAAGATAACTGTGTATCAGCCGGTTGGTTCATGGCCTTGTAAGCTATTATATTGCACGGGGCAAACACCATTTTTGCATATAGACCTTTGCTATTGTAGTAACTATTTTGCAATCTCAGTCCATGTTCTTAATAAATTTGTCTACAAATTTTGTATGATGACTGGCTTTGAAATATTTATGAGAAATTTGATAGAAATATGGGCACAGATGGTAATTTCTCGGTTCATTTTTAACAATTCCAAATTTTAGTTCTACACAATCATGAATTTAGATGGCAATTATGAAACTTTAAAACCTTTAAAGTGGTTTTTGCTTGCCAGTGTACGGTCTGTAATGTTTTAAGAGTTTCTAGCGGTTAGCTAGCTTTTTAATAGTTGTTGCCCGTGTTCTGTATTTTGGGTGACACATTTTCACTTCTCTAATCCTATTAATGTTTGTTTCCTTTCCAGGTGGACATTAGAGTAGCACCTGGAACACATGCAACTGAAGCTGCAGGTCCTCTCTCTCTCTCTCTCTCTCTCTCTCTCTCTCTATCTCTCTCTCACATGCATACACACACAAGCTGTATCTTGTTATTCATGTAAGCAGCTTGATTTCAAAGACAAGTGGCTGTTTACAAACTGGTCTATTATGTGCCTGTTTCAACTCTGAATGACATATTTTGGTGTGTTTCGGGAAACTCATGCCGTATTTTGTTAAGCTCTTGTGCCTCTGTGCTTATTGATTTCTTAATAAGGCTAAGACATGTAGAGTTACCTTTTCCTATCCCTGCCCTCGTCCCTGTCCCTGCATCCACATTTTGTTCCACCCTGCAGAATCCTTCCCCTTTTTTCGGTGTTTTGTGTGGGTGTGCGCGGCAATGAGAAGATGGTGAAAACAGTGTTTGATGGTTGTGGAAGATTTCAGTTAGCCCCGTGAATGTGTTTACCTGCACTACCCGTTGGCCCATCATGGATCTTGCTTCTTGGCAGTCCATTTAACGCCCCTTAGATTCTGTTCGCTACATGCCTTTTTAGTTATTGATGTTGGCTACCGGGTACTTCTAGTTTTTGTTCCTCTTATGTGTAGATGCTGAATTATGTTGTTTATAATGTTCTTATGTTGCAGTGAATAAGCAGTTGAATGATAAAGAAAGAGTAGCAGCAGCTTTGGAAAGTCCAAACCTATTGAATATGGTTGATGAATGCCTTGCTCCGTCTTATGCCTCATGAGCAATGTATGTGAAGTTATAGCTGATCAGTGAGAAAGATCCCAGGCATTCTGCAGCTATCTCTGCTCGCCTTGCATTCAGCGGACTGTTTTTTCTAGGATAATTTTCCTCGTTTTCTATGAGTCTCTCTTTTTAGCTATTAATTTGAAGTGATTTTTCTGCATTTCTCCTTACATTACTCGATTGTTCAGATGTAATATTGGCTCTGTAGGCCGTATCATATGAATAAAGTAGTCACCTAAAGAACACATTTGTAAATTGTAATTACAAGTTTGTCAACACTTTATTTTCGAGGAATCAAATGATGCCTAACAATGGAGTCATGTTGAACAAAAAGAAATGATCCAGAGCCTCTCTGATGGATCTCTCTTTGCCTATATCAGCGCAAAATCTTCCCCGCTCTTCTTATTTTCAATTGTTTTTTTCCCCATACACGTGCAATATAAAGCTTCAAAATTTTGGATAAATAGGAGCCGAATAGTCTCAAGTGAAGTGCAGGATCATCTGAATATCCGCAAGAAAATAGCTGTCTCATTTCTGTTGGATTAATTCTAGCTGTGAATGCATAGTCGAAGATCTCTATACAAATACAAAAACAGACAGAAGCAAGGATGCTAAAGAGAGAATTTCACGCCCTCATCATCCGTAGAAGCTCCTTTAAATATGACAAGCTTCCCTTTGTGTTCTAGCAGTTTCAGAGCTCGCATTAGAACTGATCGGTCGATTCCATAGAGCTCTGAAGTACAGCAATACGAGGTGAGAGTTAATAACGAGAAACTTCAAAAACAGGATAGAGCTTTATAAAGTGTGTGAAAAAAGCAGTCTCAGATGAGTCATTACCAAAAAATATTACTGCATCACCATTACATTCTAGTTGGCTATGCATTCAGGATCAAGAAAACCGTTTCATAATTCTACTGAAGCTCAATAGCCTAACCGTATGAAACATTTAATGAAGTGCTCAAAAGCAAGGATCTCACGGTGATGAACAGTCGAGTAGCATGCAACATTATCACAACATGATAACTAAGGGCTTAAGGAACTAAAAGTGAATTTTCACAAAAGGTTTTAGCATTGCAAAACAATAAACAGCCAATTACCTGTTCCTCGGGATTCAGTCCCTGAACGAATTTCTTCAACTGTCGTAACATTGTCCTCCAACCCGTTCTCTTTCACCTAATTAAAAACACAAAATATCATTAGTCAACCGCTTATTCATTACCAGTGTGAACTGTGCTTTGTAGAATGACTCACAAAGTGCACAATCAAGTCAGCCCACTCTTGAATTCGATGCCAAAGGATTAGACATTTTTTATGACCTTTGTCTGTCCATTCTGCACGTCCTGCAGGATAAGAGGATTAATCAAGCCATGAGGATTGCAAGATGCGAGGCTTCAGATAGTATATTCAAAGAAAAATGCAAATTGAAAAAAATTCACACAAAAACAGACCGTCTGAAACAAGGGCTGAGAGAAAAGCCACTCTAGCTTCATGACTAAGAGATCCTGGACAGACATATATAGAGCGTGAATTGACAGTGACAAAAAATGACACAAGGACACCAGCAAGAAAATGGTAGATCAGAAGCCATTACCACATTTCCCAATTTAAACATGAACAGTGCAGTTAAGTTGGACATGGTATAACATCACTAAAGCAATCAGTATCCATTATATGCTAGTTGAACCAGTACGTTTTAATTTGTCACACAAGTGACAAAAATATAATGTTGTGGCTATGCTAAGGTGGGAAAATGACCATACTATGAAACTTGATATTATCATCCATGAGCAATACCTTAGTATCAGCCATTTGGATATCATGCAGAAACAAGTGCAGTTTCTTTCACATGTAAAACGTTTTGCTCATAAACAATTAGGCCACATTCAAGTAAGATTCAGACCAACTTTGCTGCAAATTGATTCATTCTAAGTTTAGCATGCGGAGATATTCAGCAAGACTAAGAAAACCTAAACAACAATAAAGTCAACTCAATCCTGCGAATGCATATCATTCAAAAAAGAGCTATAATGAGAAGGCCATTTCATAAGAATCTGACATAAAACAAGATTTGCTTTTCTCACAACCCACTTATAAACTTGTGACAAACTATAATTGGATACTCATTCTAATTAGCACAGCTCTACTCTAAAAATCATGATGTCTACCTGTGCATCATCATCAGATCATCCCATTATATGTAAACAAAAGAACATGTCCAGACAACTATTAGATGGAGCATCTGTAGTAATCTAAATTACTAAACCCAATTGGAATAACATTCATGCCACATTTGAACTCTATAGTGAAAGTTATATCAGGTTGGGAAGGAAGATGACTCCATGATGCCAAAACCCAAGCCTAGTTAATTCAAATAGCAGGACCTATTGATTCATATAAGACTGTTTAATTCTGCGATAAAATGCCCACTTCAACTAGAACTCAAATAGGATACAAGTAATCACAGTTTGAAACATGGAGCGGATTTATTTAAAACATCCTAAACAAGGTCAAACTCTTGATGCCTAAATATAGGATTTCCTGGATTAATGAAAAACGTACGAAAACTAAGACACTTAATATAATACAGACAAGTACATTTTTTGCCAGAGTATCTTATTGCTCATTACGGACTCATAGCTTCTCAGATAGGCTCCAGATGAGGATGCCAGTTGTACCCACTACTGATGTAAAATTTTCCACCATCAATTATCATAAAACTAAAAGTGATTATGCCTTAATATCTCAAGGATGCTAGTAGCCGCATGAGCATGTGTTGAAGCCAAAAAAACGTCAAAATAGGACAGTTCTTTTTGCATATACATTTGACAACGGAAAGTAGACCACGTCTTTTGATGGTTTTCTTTTTCAATCAAGACATTAGGATAAGGAAACACGGAATAAAACCAAGCTACACCGGAAACTGAAGATATAAATTGGATATATAAGCTATGAAATATAACAAAGTTTGTCCAATAAAATTTATGTCAATGTAAGACTGACATATGAATATACAGTTGAAATAGGTTCTGCTTATGCTAAGTGCCTCATCTTGAATTCTTTTTACAACAAGAAGAAAAGTATACATGAGTCCCTACATACACGGATAACACAAACAAAAAAGTAGATACTGTACACCAGTATGTAGTTATACACTTGGAGTGTTCAATTATGTCTTGTATACATGAGATGTGCAGTATTTCTTGCTGAGAGGAAGTTTAACATCCAGACAAAACAGCACGAGAACATACTTACTCTCAATTGCACGATTGCTGAATAGAGGAAAGTCTTCCTCCAGTCCGATTATAAAAACTTTTTGAGCTCGGCAGTACTCAATTATTAGCTCTTTCCATAGTTGCACCTGCTTTTCTCGAGTGTCCCTAACTGGTTGTAAACTAAAAAGCGGAAGGAGGAGAGAGAGAGAGAGAGTTAGAGAGGTTTAGTACTTAGTGGAACGTGATATTAACAGTAGACGTCAGCTATGGGATTCAAAAATTTTACAATGATCAAAAGATCAACCTTCACTTTTCATAGCTGGATAGATTAATCTAGACAATGTATCAAATGAAAACGAAACAGAGATTACAGAAGAGTTTGAATTGAACTACTGAAACACATAATTGAAATTTTAAAGGCAACTCAAGATGATGGCAGGAACATCTACTAGCAGTATTATTATCTGACAACTGTAGGATTCAACTTGAATTTTGTAACTATGTAATCAAATATAAACTGTAGTTCTTCCAAGAACAATAGTGCTGGCAAAGTTCTCAGTTATATTTACAAAAGGCATTACACGCCTGTATGCTGAATTAATTGATAGGTGAAGAAAAGGCAGATAATAGGAGAATTCAACAATATAATAGGACGCCTGCAAGGCTATTTAAGGGAAAGTGAAACCATACATGGAGCTACACAAAGAAGAGATTGATACAAAGCATGAATGACAACAATCCATAGTTCTTACAAAAAGCTCTGTATCAATAACATGTATCTTAACTTCGTCTTGCTTACCCAAAGTATCCACAGGAGATGATTTTTAAATATGAAACTAATGAAATTTGAAAACAAAAAAAATGGTATTAAACAAGTGCAAAATATTGCTGCATAAAAAGTGATCCAGAAAGAATTCTATACAACACTTTCACAATAGATCACTGCTTATCAAATTTCACTAAAGTTCATTAAATCCAGCCAAGAACTCGTGATTGTATCAAGTAATTTCACTTTATTTCCGTCTTTATTGTCTCAAGCTTTCTTTCTCAAACAACAATGTGAAACTAAACACCAGATTCAGCAGAGCCCACGAGAAGAGAAGCTAGAAATCAAGGCAACAAAGATGACAATTTCCAAATAAAACCCAAAACTTTCCCATAAATAAGGGGAAAAACCAAAAAGAAAAAGTTAGGCAATTATCAAACCAAAACTCACAAATTGGAAAGCCAAAAGGGATCAAGAAATTACGTAAAATAAGGTGGATAGTTGAAAAAGTGGGGCAGCTTAAATTCCCCCAATTTCTGCATATCCCAGCTGTTCTTCAAATTCCTCTCCGATTCAAAAATATTCTGCAAAAACATATACCATCAATCAATAGCCAAAAGTGACTTTCAAAATGGGTTTTAAGAATTTTTGCTAAAATTTTCCGTTTTGGGCCTGAAGCAATGAAGAGACCTTACCGACCGGTAGAACTACTGGAGTGGAGGGCGACGGGCGTATTTAGAATTTTCAGTTTTTCGAATTTGGTTCTTTCTTCTTTCTTCTTTTTTTCTTTTCCTAACATAAACGAATGGAAATTTCTGTAGTTATAATCTTCTGAAATGCTGCTGGTAATTGGTAAGTTATACTAACATTAACAATTTGGTTTTGACTTCCATATATTTATTTCATTCAGATTTAGTTTTAATATACGAAAAATAATTTCCCATTTGTATATGCTTTGTAGAATCAAAATTGTATACACCCTTGGGTGCCAATTGACCTAGGTTGATCAGAATACGCCTATGAATTACATGGAATTTTCTTCTTTTTTTTTTTTCAAATTCTTCCACAAAACGTTATATTCACATATATTATATCACTATGAAAAATAAATGAACATTTTCCTGCATAAGAAATTGAACTAATATGATATCATATTTGATCGGTGTCTCGAAAACGGCAGGATATTAAACTACCATTCCCTAAGGAGAAAATAGTACTAGTAAATAACAGAGCATGCACTTGAAGTGCATCCTTGTAGATGTTAACTTACAAAGAAATCAAAGGAAATGATATATGTAATGTACCTCACTTTTTAGCTCCATACACTAAAATCATATCTTTTGTTAGGTC